CTTTCATTATTGAAAGCAGCTCCACCTCAAAACATTCAGAGCTCAGCTATCACACCACAGACAATGTGTGATTCAGAGTTTATTGCAAAGATCTTGAATCTTCTCTCCAATACCGCTGTCTTAAAAAATGAGAAAGAACACAAACAGAACATAAAACAAGTATGAAATCATGATAACACTGACACCAGCATCTGAAAGTTGAAATAAACTTACACATTTCTAGGGAAAAGTACACTGCTTTTATTTTGCAAGAAAAAACATTCTTAAAACCTTCTGCTTGGAAGAAGGGACTGCTCTCTGTGCATCAGTTGCTGACATAATTACTTCACCTATATTATTTCAAAATGTGTATTCCATGTGTATAAAATAGCAGCGTCAAGGTGACCAAATCAGGTTTTAATTCAAGAAGTTACTTATTTCTAAGAGAAGTTACAAAGTGAAATTTCTCAAATACATGTATTTAAAAATATTATACATACTGGGAATATGATGGAATCAGGATTTCCAAGCTGTTATTTAAGTGCTCTTAAATGCCTAGCAATCTACCTTTACATAGCCACAATATTTGAAAAAATGTGGAAAACTTCCCATACTTGTTGTTAGAAAGCTAGAGAGAAAAGTAAAGAGACAGGCACAAAAAGCACCAAAGCAAGCTCTTAAAATTACTGGCATTGATATCAGACTGATAACTATAAGCCATAAACTTCAGAACTAAAGATTTCAGGTCACTACCACAGCTGTTGGATAGGACAGCACATGTAAGTTATATTGAAGGTATGTTCAGCGCCACGTCATAACAGGTTTAAAAAACTAGAACCAACTAGCAGCTTAAATTACAGCTTTAATGAAAAACTGTAAGAGTCTAATTCTTTACAGACTGTATTAAGAATGGTAAAGGTCCAGATGCCACCGTTGCAACCACCTGAGTTAAATACATAGCTATACTACTTGCAGATCGCTGCAGTGCATGTCTAAAGGCTGATAAAGCTATTTCAGGTTGACAAGGAAGGGAAGAACAATAGTTGCTATGCTGCTCCCTGCTTTATGCAAATTCCAGGCAAGAATGCTAGTTTCCACATTGGTTACTATTCCTCACAGTTGTAGATGATATCATCATTAATGGGACTATTGACCATTTACTTACCTTTCAATTACTTTTTTAAATGGTGTTAACATGGCAAGATGTGGGTAACAGAAGGGGGCTGCATGGGTAGGCTCTGTGAGAAGAGAGCAGGGGCTGCCTCATGCCAAGCACAGGCAGGTTCCAGCTCCAAAAGGGACCCATCACTGGTCAAAGCTGAGCCAGTGAGTGATACTGCTTGTACATCTGTGATAACATATTTAAGGAAGGATAAAAAAGAGCCACGAAGCAGTCATGAGAGGAGTCAAAACTGAGACACACTCCTCTGCAGAAACCAAGGTCAGTGCAAAAGAAGGGTAGGAGGTACTCCAGGCACAGAACAGAAGTTTGCCTGCAGCCCAGGATGCTGTCTGTCTGTAGCCCATGGGGCACCATGCAAAGCAGATTTCCACATGCAGCCCATGGAAGACAGGACAAAGCAAGACGTCAGTATGATCTGAATGAAGTCAGAGCATGTGGAGAAGAGCACTTCCAGAAACAGGCTGTCTGGTGGGAAATTCTGGCCAGTGTGGGTAACACACTGAAGTAATTTGTCCTTTTAAGGCTACACTCCAAGGAAAAAACCCCGTGATGGAGCAGTTCTTGAATTGAAGACCAGGGGAAGACCATACTGGCACAGCTCCAGAAGGACTGCATCCCATGACAGGGACCTCACCCTGCAGCAGATGAAGAGAGTAGAGGAAGGAGCGACAAAGAGAAACCATTATGGACCAGGAGCTGAGTCTGGGAAGAAACTGAGTGGGAGAAAGGTGGTTTCCATTTGTTTTTATTTCTCACTATTCTACTTTATTATTAACTGGCAACAAATTATTCTTTAACAAATAGAATCTGTTTTGTCTCTGATTCGTTGAGCAACCTCCACGTTCTTATCTCAAGGTTTTTGGGTGGTTTGTTTTCCCCCCAATATTTTCCTCTCCCTGTTCTGCTGTGGAAGGAGAATAAGAGTGGCCTTGTAGGAATCCAGCAACCAAAGTTAACACACCACAGAAGAGTAAGATTTTTGAACAAACTTGTGTTACATTACAGGACTCATTCATATTTTTTGTGAGGAAAATTATCCTGATCTACTCCAAGGGTTTCTTAAGATTCCCACATCTGGCAAAATTACTCTTCCCACAGACTATCAAAATATATTCACCAAGATACACTAAAAAGTGCAGTGAAACATATGCTGGGAAAGTGTGAACAGATTCACTCTCAGCAAAATATACACTACTACATTCTAACTGCTTGAGAAATAACCTCACATTACTTACCATCTTCATGCTTTAGAACTACTAAGGATTTTCCCTGGCATGAAAAGATTAAAAGAGACTTCCTAGAGTGTTGTAGGAAAATGACCTTCCACGGTAATAGCTACTTCATTTTGTTTTGTAATGTTATTCACTACTATGACTTGATAAGATCTATTCATTATTTTTACACTTTTCTATGTGGCACTTACTTCTGAACCTAAATACTAAAATATGCTAAGCAACATAACAGAAAAAATATTTCTATACTTTTATGTCCATATTTAATATTTACAATAACCTATAGAATTCAATTGTCACTTCATTCTTGAAGTGCTTCTTTTCTTTAAAGATCTTTGTGAAAAATCAAAGACTTGCAATCCAAAAGAAGTCATAGTCATGCTTCCCCAAGGCCTCTGACACAGTCCCCCAGAACACCCTTCTCTCCAAACTGGAAAGGTGCAGATCTGATGGGTGGATCATTCAATGGGCAGTGAGCTGGCTATCAGATCATACCCCCAGTGGTGGTCAATGGCTCAGTGTCCAGATCAGTGACGAGTGGTGTCCCCTGGAAGTCCGCACTGGGATCCACGCTCTTTAATAACCAAGCTGCATGGTATGGCCAACATACCTGAGCAATGGGCTGTCATTCACAGATACTTAGGCTTAAGCACCGGCCCAGGTGAATCTCACGACGTTCAGCACATCCAAGTGCAGGTCTTGCACATGGGGTCCTGCCAATGGCGCTACCAACAGAAGGTGGGGGACATAAGGAATGAGCACAGCCCTGCTGTGAAGAACTCGGGGATACTGGTGGATGGGAAACTTGACACGAGTCAGTCTTACGATCTCACAGTCCAGAAAGCCAACCATATCCTGGACTGCATCAAAAGAAGTGCACCTAGCAAGTCAAGGGAGGTGATCCTTATTCTGCACTGATGAGATCCTACCTAGAGTACTGTGTCCAGAATCACCTCCCTCAACCTGCTGCTCACAATTCTCTTGGTGCAACCCAGGATATGACTGGCCTTCTGGGCTGCAAGCACACATTGTTCACTCATGTTGAATCTTTTATCAACCAACATCACTTCCTCAGGGCTGCTCTCAAGCCATTTTACACCCAACCTGTATCTGTGCTTGGGACTGCCCCAACCCAGCTGTGGGACACTGCACTTGACTTTGTTGGACTCCATTAGGTCAGCATGGGCCCATCTCTCAAGCCTGTCCAGGTCCATCTGGATAACATCCCTTCCCTCTAGCTTGTCAACTGCACTGCTCAGCTTGGTGCTGTCTGCAAATTTGCTGAGGGAGCACTCAATCCCACTTGTCCATGTCACCTACAAGGATGCTACATAACACCAGTCCCAACACCGATCCTGAGGAATACCACTTATCACTGGTTTCCACTTGGACACTGAGCTACTGACTGCAACTCTGAATGTGACTATCCAAGTGAGTGGTCCATCCATCACACCCATTTTTCTCCAATGTGTCTTCAGTATAGAAGAGACATAGATCTACTGGAAAAGGTCCAGAGGAAGATCACAGAAGTGATCCAAGGGATGGAACACCTTTCCTATGAGGATAGGCTGAGAGAACTGGGCCTGTTCAAGCTGAAGAAGACAGAGCTCCTGTAAGACCTGACAGTGGCCTTTCAGTATCTAAAGGGGAGTCACGGAGATATTTAGTGTCAGGCTGGACCAGACTATGAGCAACCCAGTCTGGATGTAGATACCCTTATTCATCACAACAAGGGAGTTGGACTAGAAGGCCTTCAAAGGTCTAACTCAAATAATTCTATAATTTCACCAGCCTATTCCACTGTATAGGGTTGAGACAACAAGTGCAGAACTGACATCTCACTGAATGCCATACAACTGGATGTAGCACACCAATACAGACCCCTCCATAGAGCATTTTTACCCTTAAGCAGATAATACTCTGACCTAACTTAGTGCCATCTGCAAACCTATTGAGGGTGCACTTGAGCCCCACCACCAGCCTCACTGATATTAAACAATATCAGTCCCAGTACTGAGCCCTGGGGAACATCACCGACTGTGACCAGACATAAGTCGTAACTGTGACTTCTCCTTTTACTAATTTCTAGAAAGAAAACTTCAGATACTAAAGCTTTCTGTTCCTATTATGTGCTCATGTAATCTCAAATTATATGCAAAACTGAAAGCAATACTTGATACATAAGCAGACTTTCAATGCAACAACCTTTTCTTAAACACAAATGCATAGGAAGATTCAAAGTCTCAAAATTTTGATTAGATTCATTTCTTAGTAACTGATTCCATACTTCATAGAGCTGAAGTCCTACTGAGTTTTCATTATCAATTTCAGGGAACTGCAGTTTGAAGTTACAGTGCTAACTAGTAACGTGCTTCAAAAATATATTGAATATATGCATACACATTTCATTTATAAGTAGCAAAAGATTTATAGTACTTCTTAATCTAACAGTTTCAATTTTGAGTGAATCGCACATTTTAGTTCTGTATCAGTTTCATTTTGAATAGTACGGTTTCAATCTATTAGATATTTCTCTGAGCTGAAAATAAATGTTTGAGAAAAACAGATTAAATATTTCAAGGATTTGTACAAGTGGTTTTGCTAACCTCGTACTGTCAGCTTGCTATATAACTGTGAGTTCATTTCCTTGTCTCTCTTGTAACGTCGATACTCATCAACAGCTTCCCGTGCCACTGTGACCGTCAAAACAAATCCCTGTTGGAGATATAAAGATACAACTCAGAATTAACAAAGGTCTAGCACAGAACCACAAGCAGGAGTACTACTCTAATTAAGAAAGTAAAAACTCTAAGTTCATGTTATTTACCAATATGTCACAAATACTGACAAAGAAAAAGGCTTTTTTTTTCCCCTGAAAAATTAGGTATCTAAATATTTCTGCTGAATTTTTCACAGGATGGTGCCACTGCAGCTCGCAGAAATACAGAGTTCTACATGCAGTAAAGAATACAAGAACCGCACTGGGATAAACATGTAGGAGTTTCTTCTCTCCCTCCTTTTTCTGTTTCTTCTCAGACACAGTTTCTTGAACTCCAGTAGTTAGTCTTTCTCCGTGAGTGAAAGAGGTGTATCATTTTCCAACAGTAAAGGGATCTTACTCTCAATACTCATTACTCTCATGCAAGTAAGATCAATAAAAAAGGTTTAGATATTCACAAATCCTCCAACAGATAAGTCAAGTCTTTAGACTACTTATGTAGCTTAAGAAATCCACCAATACTCCCCCTCTTTACAGGAAGCTTTAAACCAGACTAATTGCAGCTTGCCAGTCTTCCCCCTACCCTCTCAGTATCAACACTTAGAGATTTCCTAAAACAATCTTGATTACAATTTTCCCTTGCAATAGCAAGGCTGTTTCCCCATTCCAGCCCAACATTCCAAGGCCCAATCTGTTGCAAGCTTGAATTACACACTTCTTGTTTGTTCTTGCTGCACTAATCAAATTATAACTAGGTGGAAGAAACCACCTTCATAGAACATATTCCTACTCGCACCCAGGGCACAGCCAAATCTCCTAGGCATGCTAATATTATTGAAACCCAATTTCCAGATCTCAATTTAGCTCTTTAAGCAGAAAGTTCAGACAGTCTTGCCTCAGAATTCCATTTTCAACCTTGGAAAATATGAAGTACAAAACTGGTCAACTACCCTCTGAATGGTCGGTGGTGCGATAGGACTGACACGCTGCTCTACTTGTGAAAGCATTCTCTGGAATTTCTGTAATCTTGTCTGTGTTCAATTTCCTCACACACTTGAATGACAAAGCAAAGGAAAACTAAGTTATTGCTACTCTCCTGATTATTGAGCTTTTCTCAGCAATTTCTACCAAAAAGGAGTACTACTAGCACAAGCTGTGATCATGTTGCTTGATGGGAAAACTGGAAATGATATTCAAAATATCCTTTAATAAGACCTACCAGTCTATACAGAACTGACCATTTATGTTATTAACAGATGATCTGCATTATGAAGTTTGGGGGAACTGCTTACTCTCTGACAGAGATGAGATGTCATACTAAGTGATTTTTTTATTTTCTATTTTCCTTACCATCCCACTAACAGATCTCTGCTTAGCATTTCACAATGAAGAGATCAACTTCCAGACAAGGTTAACTTCTCTCTTGTCTTACTGGGTCAGCAAGAAAGACCTTCGTTAATACTCCCTTACGACCTCCTACTGTTGAACAACAGTCTTCCTGTCTTTGAATTGTTGGGTTTTTTTTGTTGCAGCAAAAGTTGTCTTGGAGATTCTTCACACCTCTGTGTCCAGACAACCTCTCCTTGATCAGTACTTAAATGGACACATGTTGTAACAATTTAAACAATGAAATCAATCCAGAATATTTACTACATTGACTTGTTAAGAATGACCTTTACTCAAGCAGTCAGAATGTCATTGTTCTCTGATACCTCTGAGAAGCAGCGCCATAAAAAACTACTTCTTTTTAAAATGAATTTGGAAAACAAAGAATTTATTTTTCCTGATTTGTTTTTAAAAGGGGGGGGGGGGGGGGGGGGCGTCTTGGGAAGATGAATAAGAATTAATGGTCCTGATACAAATAAAATGAGAACTACAAATCACAGTAATACAGCTGGCAGACCACTAAAAGGGTCTCTCCAAACCTCAAGATAACCAAGTCAGAGGCAACCGACTTGAACAGTTTCCCAAGAAAATACTACAGAGTGCTCAATAATAGAAAGACATATTGAAAAGAAACCAGTGCAACTGGAAGTGCAATCGATCAGGAAAAGCATGCTTAATGGGTAACTTATTTCCAAGACACCTTTTCCTTCTGCTTTGTCCACAGCTTAAAAAATAAAAAATCTTCATCAATTTTTATGAAAAAAATATCACGACCAAAGTAGACAGAAGGAAAGCAAAAAATGTATGCTTTCAATTCTGCTATAGCCATAAGAAAAGTCAACACAAAAAAGAACTGGACCTTCCAAATGAGGTTCTCCATTAGCTACAGTTCTGAGGTTTGTTGTTTTGAGATTTGTTTTGTTTGTTTTTTTCTAATCTCTCAGGTCACCAACTGCTAGAAAGAAGCACTACACATTCAGACTGGTCACTTAACAAAACGCATTATCAAACAACTCCACCTGCAGTACCCACTGCAGTATGACTTACGCATTTTCTTTGTTCCATATTTATTCAGTGAAGCTTATCTGATGCAAATTTATGAGATTTTTTTATACATTAGCTTTTCACTTGAAGTTTAAAATGTAGTTAATAGCATTTTTCTGTTTACCAGAGGAGCCCAGTATGTATACAGGTAGCCTATTTTCAGTGCTGGTACAAACTGTGAGCAGGACACGACGAGAAAATAGAGATTCAGGAAAAACTTGAACTGTTCATACAAAACCTAAAATGGAAAAAAGAACATAAAACAGATAAATGCCATGATTTTTATATGCACATAAATATTACATGCAGTATATAGAAAATCACCTGATCATGACAGTGGATACTGCCATACAAACATAGCACTGTAGTAGTGTATAGAGTATTTAAGACATTATATATTGTACATATAATACTATCATTTTATTATTAGGTAGCTATTTTTGTTGAGAAAATTTCTTTTTATCTCAACGACTTTCCAATCTGATAAAGCAATTTCCTGGATTTTTTATATTTTGAAAACTGAACTATGTGACCTTACAGATCTTTAAAAACATTTAACATCTGTCAAGATCACAGTGCAAAAAATTTATTACTGAATTTAAAATAAATGTGCAATAATTCACATCTACTACGTTTGTGACGGCAAGCAAGATAAGTTTCTGAATTTTTCCCCCCTACAGTGGCAGTACAAAAGCAGACTCCACATGCTTCATTAGTAGGTGAGGATAACATGGTATCTCTGGCAGAATAACCAGAAGAGGCTACTGGACTGGAAATGCTACTGTAAAATTGAGATTGCACCACCTGAAACAGTGAGTAATCAACTGTTTCAAAGTTAAAGCATTCAAAACAGTTGAAATGCCACATTTGAAGAGCGCGCAATGCAATGACTTCTGTATGAAAATCAAAGTTGCTTCACAGATATATATTGCTTTCATCATCAGTATTATCAGTTAATTATGTAAAAAACTAAGCCCTAGGTGAAATAAATGCCCAAGAGAGTTAATTTTAAGGTGCCTGTCCATCAAGGACAAAGTACCAGCACCTTAACAGTCAGCATCTTGCAAGACCGATACATTGCTACTGTTCTGTTAAAGGACTACCTAAGCAACCTCAAACCAGAAGAGATTTCAAGATTGGAAGCAATAAATACATAAAGCCAAAAAGTCAAATTTGACTTTGTAAGGAACACTGGAGCATCCTTCCAAAATGAAACTAATTCAGCACAAACTTCTACCTCATGACAATAGTGATACAGCTCATCATTTCTTGCCTTATTTTTTTTCTTGCTGTTTACAAAGACTTGATCTATTTGGTCAAAGCAGAAGTCCACAGAATACTCTGGGAGCTTTGGGCCCCCAAGCACATCCATCCTACAGATCGGCTTGAGATCTGCAGGCAGAGGTTGAACAGCACTTTCCTACAAACTCTTTGAATATAGTAGATCACTGACAGCTTCTTCAACACAAACTTAAACACTTCAGTCTCGTTAAGGAAACTCAAAGTCTCCAGTTACATAAGGCCAATAATAAAAAAATAGATTACTGCTTTGAAGTTCATAAGAGGAATGATAAACTGTGGACCACTTCAGGTATGGTAAGAATTTATACAGAATTCCTGAACAGGTGTCAAGACTAAGATGAAATAGTAAACAAACAGCACATACTAATAGAAGCAGGCTGTTTGTTTTTGTTTCTTTTTTTGTTTGTTTGTTTCTTTTTTTTTCTTTTAATAAATACAAGGAAATTAGACCTAAATTTGAAAACATCATAACTCTTTCACCCAGTAATATCCTGTTAATCTGAAGTTACCTTAAGCCTGTACTTTGATATAAAAATCACTGAAAACTAGCTGTTGTCAGTTGCAGTGTTAAAAACACACTTCTAAGCAGAAGGCAGATTTCACATGATGAAGACTTCAACTAGGGTAACTCATTCAGGCCAACACTCAGCTACATCTATGGATTTGGAACCAATACAACTGTGCTGTCCACAAATTACTTGCAGTGGAACAGAACAAAAACAGCTACAGCGTACCTCCAATCAATGAAGACTGTTGATTTATGTCCAGAATTAAAATTCAAAAGCCTTTTATTTTCACCTCGTGTTGAACTTCATACTTAGGATTCCACTTTGTTGCTACTGAATTTCAAATAATACTGAATGTATGTGATCTTGTCTACACATCTAAATCAAGATTATCCAAAGAGGTGAAAAACAAATCCCTCTCAACAGGGAATTGCAAGAAATGGCTGATCCTTACAGGAAACATGAATCTAGTTTAGGATTTGTAATATGCACTGAAGACTTCTAGTCACAATAATCAATGGCTTATTATATGCTTAATGAATTTTGTGACCTTTAGGAAAGCATATGCACCTCAACCAATTTCTCTGAATTTAATAATTTAAACTTGAGAAGAAAACATTTACCTGGTTCGATAGAGATGAGAATATTTAATCTGCCTACGGAAAGCGGCGTTTTATTTATTTGGCAGGAGATCAGTCTTAATTACAAAGCCATTTGTCTCTTTTTTAATAAAGAAATGCATTAGAAAGCATCTGCCAGTCACCAAAGGAACAGAATCAATACTCATGCATCTGCATGATCACGGAAATAAAAAATTTAAGACAAAAAATGTTTGTAAAAAATGGATGGATTCTACATTTGAATGCAACAGGTCACAGAATGCTTGGAAAGTACCAGTAAAATATGGAATGTTGACACACGTTTTTAGGTTTTATGTGCTGATGCTTCAACAGTTTTCTTCCCTAGTGCTGTATTTCATTATAGTAACTAATTTTTTGAGAGTGTGAACAAATGTTTCACTTTCATGTAAGCAACTAACTTGTGTAAGTAAGCAACTTACACACTGGAAACAAACAACAAAGAAGCCAACTATTAAGGCACCGTATAGCTTCTTCCAAAAAAGAAGGCAAAAAGCAACAAATCCACATTCACTCCATGACAGAAGTACTGTCTGAAGGATTACAATCAAAACCAAGACTTCATTATTCTTAAGATATAAGAACTGCAATCAATAAGATTGTATTAATCAATTAGATTAATCAATCAATTAATCAATAAGAACTATGACTCTGAAAAGTACTGGTCTGCTAACCAAGGCTTGCTTATTTTCATATCAATAGATTTTTTCTGATGAGACGTTCTGTAGTTCAGAGTGCATCATTTATTATGCTTTCAAAGGCAGTGAGTACAGTAAAGTACTTGTATGAGCACACTGATGTTCAACTGCTTGTATCTCTAGTTTGTGCTCTCTGGTATTTTCAGATCGTTCAGGAGTGATTCTGTTTCTAGAAGGGGATTCTAAATTTCTAATTATTTACAGAAAAGTGCATGGAAACGCATCTCAAAGCAGTAATGCTTCACTGAATTCCAACCACTCAAATCATGCAAACATTTCTCATGTAAATATGCCTTTGAAAATACAACACTTAAGAAAATGTAGCCTTGCTTTCACTCACAGCTGTGCTTAAAGACATCAAGATAAATGTCGAAAACGTGAAGAATCTGGGCACACAAAATTATCTTTTTGCAGAACAGACAAAAATACTACAGAACATACAGTCAGCCCAATATCAGAAAACCAGCACCTTACCCCAGGTATAAAGGTAAAGATGTTGTATTTTTGATTCTTAATGGCATTTTTAGGGTATTTTTCTTCACACTTTTCAGGGCACCCAAGCCACACCGTGCGAGCCTTCAGCTCTTTCTTTCTTCGGCAGATGTTTATGAGCCAATCAGAACAACTGAAAAGAGAAACAATTTTTGATTTTAAAACTATGAATTAGATGTACGTGATCTTTGTTTTCCAAACATGGACTCCTAAAGACAAATACATAAGAAAAACAGGGGTTTTTTTCCCCCCCTCCATATCTACATTGACAAGCAAGATGTTTATTTCTAATATTTATTTACACTGAAGTCTTTATGCTGACACAAACAAATACACTGTTTTTAATCTGTGCATCTGTACATATATACACACATTTTAAATAAATATATATCTAAAACACAAAACATGTATGTGATTATAAATATCAAGTATAAAATAAATACTAGAGCAACCAAGTGGAAGGTGTCCCTACAGGGAAGCGGAAGGACAAAGGACATTAGATATCCTTTACAGTCCCTTCCAACTCAAACCATTCTATGATTCAAAAAAAATATGGATAAATAAGAAATATATTTTAATATAGATATAAAAAACATTTTCACATTCTTTACAGGAAAGTCCAGTAAGATTTTGTCAAGTTAAACACACCTCACCCTAACAAAAACTGAACAAATTGCTTTCTATGTCCATGAAGAAAATAATGATGGGCTTCAACTGTGGCAAATAAATCAATGCTGGGAGGAAGCAGAGGCAGGGGACAGACAGAGGAGGAGTCCTCCTAATGGCTAGGGCGGAATGAAATGCTGAAGGAAGCTGGAATTGCTACTACTGAAGCTGTCAGACTTTGCTGGAGCTGAAATATATGGTTGGTGCAATTTATACTGTGCAAGCAAGGAATTAACTGGATGGCCACTAAGATCCCTTCTTAAACTTCTTCCACAACGTCAGTGACATGGAATGCACAAATAAGCACTGAAGAAAGACTGATTACATCACTACACAATACCACACCCTACATAAAATGCCACCTGTATTTCACAGGTCTACTTAGTAAGCAATTTTGCCGAAGAAGAAATGCAATTCAAAGTTCTACAATTTTCTTATAGAAAACTAGACTACGCCAAAGTGAAATCATTCAAAGCAACTATGTTTTGGAAAAGTCACCACACAGTACTCACAAGGTGATATTTGAGAACTTCAGCTCTGAACGCTGGATTCCTAGCATTTCCTCCTTAAAGCTTTCACTACGGGAGAGACACCAGTTTGATTTGATTCTGTGCATTTCAGCTTTGTTACAATATACACCCCTTCTGAATTTTTTCCCATCAATTTTAAATAGTGACAGTTACTCTTCTTTGAAAACTTTAACAGCATTAGTTGAACATTCCAGATGTGGTCATGCTTTTTAATAACATTTAAAAAACCAAAGCTACCTTGATTATGACAAAAGTCTTTCCACTAACATGAGCAGCATTGCCTTCTACACATCACAGTTCCACAGACAGCTTAATGGCTGTGAACCCATCCTGCTAAAATGGCTAGTACCACCTTCCTTCAATAATAAAGTTGTGCATTCCTGCCCCTTACCCTGAACAGACAAAAGTCTTTATACGACTGTGTGGGTAAATTCAGATCAAACTGATTCACTTGTAAACTCATAGGGAACAGAAAGAGGATCTGTTTTCAGACACATTCATCCCTCATTAGAACTGTGAACACAGTTGCAAGGACTCAGGCTGCATCTATACTTGTAGCATAAAGTGAAACAACCAAAAAACAGAACATCTCATATGTAAACTTAGTAAAACTGCTCTGCTATTAAAGCTTTACACTCGTTAGTTTTCAGGGCAGGGGATGGAGAGGACAATACAAACACAAAGTTTATCACTCCACTGTACAGCTGATACACACTTGCAGCAAAAGATGATTTTCTCAGAGAAAGCAAACAAAAGCATGATACCCGTCTGCCTGCCTACAAGCCTCAAGACAAATCTACTGACAGCTTTTGAAATCTTGTATTTTTTAAATCAGCCTTTGGATCTGAACTGTAAAAAGCCCAAACATTTCATTAAATGTAATGCCTTTTGTAGAATTTCCACATTAGGCAGCAGATGCCAAAAAGTACAGACAAAAGAATGAGAAACAACTGTGACACCTTTCAAAGAAAGGCCTGGCACAAAGCTAACAACGTCAAAATCCACACGCAAGAAAATCCTGGATGAAACTGAGTCATGCCCAGATCAATACTGTAATGGTTCAGATGAGTTTTACTAACTTAAGAGTCAAAATCATCTGGCATTTCTAATTTACAGTCTCGTCAGTAATCATTGCTACATCACAGGGAGATTGAGAGAAGGATGTTGGCCTCAAATCCAAACCGATTTACATTAATCCAAATTTTAAGGAACCATGAAGTCTAATTGGTATTTCTGAAACCCAAATTATCTATCAAAACCCAGCACACACTTAATCTGTTCTCTAATATTCTATAATATGGAAACGATTCTTGTGCAAGAAAATTGACCCTTTAGTGGGATTTTTTGTTCCACCTTCTGTGAAAGAAACATCAGGAGACGAATTGAAATAACATTCTCTGAACTTCAAAAACCATAAAATCAATGCAAGGTAGAGCACGATCAAGATGCTCCAGATTTTCCTGAAATCTTTAATGAAAACACCTTACCCCATGGACTCAGTGATTATAACAAAAGAGTTACACGTCTTTATTGATTTAAACATTTATTTCAAATGCATTTGTCTAGGAAATTCAAAAAATGCATTGAAGGCTTTTTCTTTAAAAAACAGTAGCTGTAAGATGTGATGTCTCCATCAATATCATGTTGTATGTATGAACAGGCGTACTAATAAATAAAAACTTTAAAGTGCTATATGGCTTTTTTTTTTATTATTTGAAGGAATTACCACAGCTGTCTCATACATTACTGATGCTATCCTCAAAAACATGCAGTAATTGTTAAATAAGAACCCTTAACTTGTTGTAAATACAGAGCATCCCACCAAGTCAAAAGCTAAAGCGAGTCTCAACTGACTCTGTAGTTCCAATAATAAGGACTTCTTTTTCCCCTTTTTAATTACTTTTATCCTACAAGCTTAACCGCCAGCATCTTTCACAAAACAGCATTTTCATCATAATGGAAAGATAATATAAAAGCTCTACATTGTCTGCAAGGGTCAGCTTTTCCTTATTAGGTTTTAAGTAGCAGAAACTAGTTCTGCAAAGAAAACATACTGTAATTATTGTACTCAACAGGTAGCTTCAGTAATCGGGCCAAAAGCAACACAGTGGTCATGTCACTCTTTAAAGATCAGCATTTTCCCATGCTTCTGCATAACAAATGCGTCGCAGATTAATTGAAAGTGTACAGGCCATCTTAGAGCCCAAATTAATCCGAGCATTTGATATCCCCTTCACTTCATATGGAAATGCCATTCAATGGCACCATTTTCATAGGGACAAAGTGTTTTTTGATAACAAGTGGAATGTAAATCTCATGAGAAAGAAATCAATCCAGCCCAAAGAACTCCAGAGTATTGATCTACGTGCATTATAATTTCACATGCTTGAAGAGAATTCGTAAGTTAAAGGGGAAATGATTACAGCCACAAAACCACTGCTATATATCACAAAGTTTTCTTTTACCTATGCTATGAAAGCAAGAAATACACAGTTTCTGAATTTATATCGGTTGCCTTCAATTTGCTCAAAATCAGTGGCAACATTTGATGTACTTATATTTGGTGAGGTGTTGTGATTGCTGATTTTTTTCCTCCTTCTCAATTGTAAAAACTTAGAAAGACACAGATTTGCAAATAAAATCCACAGTATCCAGTTCTGGCCAACAATAGCCTATTGTCTGCACAGAAGCTAGAAGCTGAATAAAGGATGTTTACAAAATCAATTTTAATGAACACTCAACTTTGACAAACCTGCCATATTTGCTCCTGCCAAGAAGGTGAAACTTTTTCAATTAAGCAATAACCATCAGATGGTTTTTAATAAGTAAATCTACGGAATATAAAATTGTTACGCTGTAAAGTTAAGAGTTTCCACTCCTAAAAAATGAACAGCATCCCAATAATGCAAGACAAAAGAAAAAAATTAGTGGGTTTGTTTGCCAAGCTCCAGACAAATGCATGCTATTTGGTCTTCTTCCTAACATAGCTTTGAAAAATTTACAATATAATTTAAGGTACAAAACAAAGTTCTGAATGTGGAAACTGAAATTCAAACTTCACCTGGTCTCAGGTATGAGATCAATTTCCCCAGATACAGGGGTTAAGTTTTAAATTCTGTTGAACTGAGCAAGTTTCAGACAGCTGTGCTGAATCAATCTGGTATTTCATCAGATATTACACTTAGAATGCAGCTCGCCTTATGCAAGCAAGCACGTTTCAGTGCTTTGCAGAAGACATATCACAATCTCTCAGTTCTAACTGTATGGACACCCAAACTGATAGCTTACACGCTACTTTTACACAGTATAATGACTACATACACAGCAATACAGTCAGTAGTTTCCATGTTTTCTACACAGCCCTTCCAGTAATCCTAGGAAATTTAAAGGACAGGCAAGTCAAAATTTTAGTATTCAGCGGGTCCCAATAAATATGCATAAAGTTTAATATGAGTAATGTTAACACTGAATGCACCAATGACCAACCCCTAAGGTGCTTTCAGCCCAGAAGAAATCTCCTCAAGACCACAAAGGATATTCACACACTCAGAAGTGCTCACCTAAGATGAGGTTTTTATATAGTTTGATTGGACCAGTAGATAAGATTTCACTAAGATATCACGGGAACCTCCTCCCAGCAAATATTCTCAACTAGACAGATCTCTGCATCTATCTTGTGGGAGTATCCTCTGCCTGCTAAATTTCCTACTGAAATTCTAGGCTCCGATTCAGTTGTTATTCAATAGTATTTATTTTTAATGAAAAATAAATGCAGCTCCCATCACATTCGGTTACAGAAAATTCCAATGTGATTTAAATGTCTCTGTGTACAATTCAAGACTAAATGGACTCCATCATCTGCATCATCTATCAAAATTCAGTTGAGTTAATCAGTAAGGCAAAAGGCAAACTCCTTCAGGGCCTCTTGCTTAGGAGAGAATTTTCTTACAACTACCTCTTCAATACAATATGGATACAGTGTAGAATCATAACATCATTACTGTTGGAAAAGACCTCTGAGATGTCCAACCACCAACCCAAATCAGCATCCACAAAACTATGTTACTAAGTACTACACCTGCATGTTTCTGGAACGCCTCTAGGGACAGTGACTCTAACTACTTCTCTGGGCAACCTATTCCAATGCCCACTCTTTCAAAGAAGAAGACTTTCCAACCCAGACTTCCCACAGTGCAACTCTTGCCCATTGTACTGAGCCACAGGGGAGAGAACAGCAGAACACACACAGCAGTGATATTCCTTCTGTGAAGGCTGGGGGGAAAGAGGATGAAACGTTCTTCCACTCACCAACAGGGACAGGCCTCACTTTGGGCCTCACAGCTGACACCGAGTTCCACACCGACAGACCCACACCACAGCCACCATGCTCTGAGACCCCAGCAGGTGAAGCTCCACAGGCATCCCAGCTCCTAACCCAGGTATTCAATGCCTAAAGAAAGAGCATCTCTGGTCCAACAGCAGACAAGCTGAAGGAAGTTTGTAAGACAGAAGGCTACATGGAACACCCCGAGTAGAGGCAAGCAAGTTGAAACCCAGATCCATTTCATGTGAGAAGCTCATTTTTCTACAAAACACAGAAATTTTCAGTATTCTGAACTGACATACACACATACCTCATCCACAACCCACTGACAGCACAAAGAAGTGATAGAGTGTAGCAAAATAATTTATCCACAACGCCTTTTCCCTGCTTTTTTCCTTCTCAAAAATCCAAACGTCTTTTTTGATCTCTGCTTAAAGCTGAGATGTAACTATGAAGTTCTAAAATAAAACTGAGATTTTTACAATTCTCTTCATCAGTGAGTCTTTATGAAATTTCACTGATTTTTATGAGTTCCAACAAATCCATCCTGCAGTTAACAGCCCTTCTTCACACACAGCAGATGCTCCAGTACCTCTGCCCGGGCAGCTCCAAGGTGCTCTCTTTACTGTTACACCTATTTTCATGAAACTTACAGGGGCACAACTGAAACTTCCTCCATCCTTCAATCCGGTTATCCTCACATCATCAGAAAATTCAATAGATGTATGAAGACTGTGAATGAGAAGCACAGTATGCCTCGTTTCTTTAGAAAAACAAAGGCTAAAATGCATGGCAATTACAACTGGAATAACTACACTCAGAACGGTTAATTTGAAGTCAGACTGAAGTCCTGTAAAACATAGGATGCACAAGGACTGCTCATTCCAGACATTAGAGCTACACAAACTGTCCATCACAGTAACTAATACCCAAAGATCTCAACTTCTTTTTGAAATGTACTTCCATTTTTAGATATGTCCCCAAGAAATTGAAGTGCTTTCAAACACTAAAAAACACCACTTCCAAAAATAAACGACATGTATTAACTCTCATTCTGCTATCTCTGCTTCCCTAATTCCTTCCTGCTACTTTCTAACACTTGATCCCCGTAACAAATACATTTTTTTTCTGTTAAGACATTACAGAAAGAATAAATAAAAACCATCGGCTTTTTCTATAAACAAAGCAGCATAAAAAAGTTACTTCATAACTAAACGTGCACAAAAACAGCTCTCATTCGGTTGGGTAGAACAACGTTGTAAGGTCTCTTGCAATTTATTAAGTGCCAAGAAAACTACGTATGAAGATGCCTGTCTAAATAAATTCTAAAATCACCTGCTAACAGAAAATTTCATCACTTAGCTGAAAATACATCACTCGTTCCAATGTTTTTTACATAATATTCAGATTTCATCATTAAAGATGAAAAGGTTATTTTTATCCACTCTGCAGTAATTGGAAACTTTCTAGCAATTCAGTTAGGAAGTTGCTGTTCCAATGTAACTACATACACTGGACTTCAGCACAAAGTTTATAAATAAGCAAATCACAAGAGCTAACTCCAGCTGCAATTCACTCTAAGGCCAACTGCTACACGCCTTCCTTAACTGTTACAGCCGAAATTTTAACTAATCATTAGTTAATGACCTCTCTCTTTTCAGCAATATAATAAAATCTACATTTTTTTTCTGCCTTAAGAAATAAATGCCCTCAAAAAAAAAAAAAAAAAAAAAAAAAATCAAGGAAAGTTTTAACATCTTTTACTCTGTGTGGTTTTGAGTACTACTGACAGCCATGCTTGTACGTTACGGACCTGGACTATTACAATTTCAGTATCTGATCTCTTAAAAGCCTCTTTTCAGCTCATTTCAGTTGAAAGTCAGCAAAGCACACAGGAGAAATAAACAGCAGCAGTCACACAGAACTTTTATTAACAGTTAATAAATATCCTAGTAGAGAAAACGCAAGCAAAATAGTTAACAGGTGCACAACAAGCAAATTACAATGTTTTCCACGATAGATGTAGAGTACAGGGATGCAATCAGCACTTACTTAAATCACTGAATAGTTAAATAAAAACTTCTAGTACGAAACAAACCTAGTGCAAAGGAACTTCCAGCCACCACAGATAAACCATTCCAAGCCTCTCTTTCTCTGAGAGATTCTGGCTCTTGGGAGGGTGTGGTAATCGCTCTCATCATTTTCAAAGCCTTCTTCTGACATCATTAGTGGCATTTCATCCAAATGAGAGGACTCATCTTCTACTTGATATCTGTAAACATGAAATAAAAACACTAAATAAATAATCACACAACAAACATTTTTTATTACCAGGAATCTCAAAGTACTAAAAGTTAATTGTTGCTATATGGAATTACATTAGAGAGAGATTTTCAACTTAAACATCAAATGTATTTGCCCTGACATCAGCATTTGCATTACATAGAGTAACACAGCAAGGACATCTGCAATTGTCCAAGCACTTTGATATAAATTCTTGTTGGCTATTGAATTTGTAAATACAGAACTGCAGCTTCTTACTTTTCACAGGATTATTTGCAAGATTTTGTTAAAAAAAAAATACTAATTTAGTGAGCTTTCACAGAAGCACAAACTTTGCATTTCCACTGAGCTTTTTCCAACTTGCTGTCCTGATATACCTATGACTATTTCTGCCAAGGCAGACCTCCAAGCCTGAATCTGTATCAGATCTCTACCATTCATCAGTCTACCAGCCTTAGTTAATAAAACATTAGTCACTTTTGTAATTCTTGACAGGAATATTGAGCAAATCAAAACCGATTTGACTGCGGACCTATGAAAACAACACTAGGCTAGTAATGGTCCTTTCCTCTTCAGAAACTCTTCTCCCTGTTTTGCACTTGTGGAATGCCTATTAAGCCAAGATAAAACACCTGAATGTTTGATAAGGAAATTCTCTAAAGTGCATGTAAATTGAGTCAATTCTTCAATTCCTGTTGACTCAGTGGTATAAAAATATGGAAGAACAGCACTACTACTCAGGTTCCCTGTTATAGGCCATTCAAAGGACTACTAGGATATTAGATGGAAGAAAATCTACATAATCTACTTGCATGCAATAACAAAATAGCTGATGGATGTAAATAAAATCATACAGAGATCAGCCCCTACAAACAAAGTGTGATCAGCCCCTACAAACAAAGTGGTCAGAAAGGCTGACTGCAAGAATGCTTAAAGAACAGAAGTACCAAATCTAACCAACATGCAAAAAAATTACATACATAAAAATATTAATACTACTGAGAATGGTAGTTAAGCAGTCATTAAATACAAACAGGTGATGAAAACATATTTGACTAGAATAAAAGGGTACTGTGCAATGTATGTGCAATGCATGTACATTTTATTTTTTCAATTCTCAAACAGACACATCTTTATTCTTCATGTAATCTGCAATTTCTCCCTTGGATTTATTTTTGCATTGGGAGCAGTAAAGCATAATTCCTAGAGCTCAGAAAGTTAAAAAATAAAATAAGGGCTGAGTCAGAAAAAAGCATTTGACAGATGCAAAGCTTAAAAATTACTGGATTGTTTTTGATGAAAGCTGTACTGTGTCTCTTACAATATGTATCCTAGGACCGTTCATTTTCCCCTCAGCAACCTAAAAAACTATTTATTTTTTTTTAACAGAAGCAGTGATTAAAAAAATCCAGTTTTGGTACATTTGTACATATAAAAAGCATTGTGCAAGCTCTAATCTGAGTGCACATGAAGGCAATATCCACATCCACAAACTGAAGGGAAGCTCCCAAGCATTTGACCTCTAAACAAGCAGAAACCTGCCTGCAAGCTGTCTGGCATGAACCAACCCCAACCTCTAAGCTCTGCCTGGGGATGGCCCAGGAAGAGCAAGGGCTGGAACAGCTCAAGTTCACACCAGGACATACGTCAACAGTATGCAAGTACTGAATCCCAGTGCTTGGGAATGTCTGTAGTGTACATGAATTTATATGGCTATGGAGAATATTAAAAATAAAAAGCTCTCTCAGTGCAGAAATGCACTCCATCTTCTCATCTGGTGGGTGAGCTGGTACATTCAGTACGCAGCTTTGACTGAACAACAACTTTGTTTCAAACTGAAGTAAAATTTTCAACACGGGCAGAGAAAGTCCACGAACTGAGCAATACTAAACTAATCTGACAGGAAAGAAAGAAGGAAGGTGGTGTAAGGGCACGAAGGTATTACTCAGCATCTGAAGGAGGGCTACAAAGATGGGGAAGGGTTTGTCTGGAGGGAAAGCTGTGCGCGGAGCGGCTGAGGTGTCCGGGTGCGCTCAGCGCTGACGGGAGCCCTGATGGCGGCTGCGGCTCCTCACAGCGAGCGGAGGAGCAGCGCTGAGCTCTGCTCTGTGCCACAGCGCCAGGGCCCGAGGGAACGGCGCGGAGCTGCGCCAGGGGACGGCAGCCCACAGGGAAAGGGTCTGCAGCACAGGGCGGGGGGCACGGAACGGGATGCACAGAACGCTCCCAAAGGGTTTGAATTTAGGGTGGCCCTGTGTGGAGCCTGCAGTTGGACCCGATGGTCCTTGTAGGTCCCTACATACTCAGCATGTTCTGCAGTTCTGTAGCACAGTATGCTAAGCAGCATTCAAGTTACACCTGTCAAAACCTTGAACAAACCCAAGATTTTATACAAACACCAGGCATGAGAAAGCACCGTCACTAGGTCTGTTTTTCCTCTATCTACTGCATATTTAATACATAAAATCTGAAAGCATTACTTGTCCTCTAGTTTTTCAGCAATGCACATATGCATAGTCTGTATTAAAACCACTATTCCATTATAAATCTTTTTGGAAGGCATAAAATGGGGGGGAAGGGTGAGTTCTAGTACACAATTTCTATTGAAAAGACATCATCCACTATCTACAAACAGGCTTTGTAGATCTTTCTTCTTCCAAAAAAAAAAATAAAAAATAATAAAAAAAATCATCTTTTTCAAATTATCAGAGAGCAACAACACAGCAGAAAAAAAACGAAAGTAGTTCTGGGAAACCAAAAGCCACAGAAAATACTTTCAGAACTATTACTAACAGGAACTCCCTTCAAAAATAGGCAAGTGGAGGTTAAAGAACGGCAGAAGCCTCACAAGTGTACTTTGCAAATAATGTCATTTGCAAAAGGATGCATCTGGTATTTTTCTTAATATGGCCATCTGGCAACACTTTTTCCATTCTTGCTATTCTAAACAGTGATTAAGAAAAAAGGAACCTAATACAAAAGGCAGTTATTTACAGGTCACAAGGCGTATTACACAAGATTGTACGGATTACTTTCGCATTAAACTGATTTTAAATACTCAGATTTACACACTTGACAATAAAAGTTACTACTTAAAACACTTTATTACTTTATGCTGAATTCCAGTAAGTAAAGCCTGCGTTTAAACAGGTTCACATTCAATGCTTTTATATTCTCCCCTGGTTAGGTTTGCTAATTACATTATCGCAGTTACTCCCAATACAAAGCCTTGCACTGCATTGTATCTTGCTTTTAGACCTCAGCAATTAATGGTGTGCCATCACCCAGTGAAAACACAACTTGCCAGCCACACTGGAGCACGCAGCAACAGACCCCTCTGACTCACATAAGTTGAACAGTGTCTGATTCAAAAGATCATTTGCTTTATATGCAGAGGTAACAAGGCAAACATGGCTGAAGCCTCTCCTGACGGAGCACATTAATGCAAGGCAATTAAGAGAAACAGATTCAAAGATCTGCTTCATATTTATGCTACTCTTGCAAATGTGGTGATATTTGTAGAACGCACCAATGTTCTAACTGTAATCGCTCACGTGTTTGGTGGGTTTTGGTTTTTTTTGCCATTATAAACAATTATTTTTTCACAATTAGTATCTAGTTTGCACTTTTAAATATGGAGCTTCACCAAGCAGTGAAGATAATGAGCATAAGCATCTGACTTCAAAATATAGCCTTTGAACTGACAAGCAATTTATTCTGTTTCAAAAGTAATTTTGGTATTGTGCTAGAAAATTGTGCTTCAGTATTTAAAAACAATAGGACAATGAATAATGTATTGTTCCTAACTAGGAAGAGGACAAAAATCTTTTTGTCTTTGTTACCTAGTATTTTTCCACTTAATTGCTGGAAGTGTGGATTTGCCTTCAATGACAAATCAACTAAGTGCAATCCTAGAAACTTTTATTAAGATAAGGAAACACTGGAAGCAATGTGAATAAAGAAGCCAGAGCAAAGACATCAAAACTCTCAGCATGGCTGCTACGAATCACGTATGAAAAGAACTGTCTGATAAAAATATGGCTTCCTATGCAAAAAGGAACATTAACACTGAACAACTTTCAACAAAATCCAGCTATTATTAGGAATGAGATTTAACAGACTTAAGTGAAAGGGAATCATACACAATAAGCGCTTTTAAACAGGCTTTGATATCAATATCTGCTACGGAAACAACATCCCAAGTCATCATTTTGCTTTGCTTCTGCTCATGGCCAGTACAAAGATAGGAGAGAGAAGCATCACCTGACCTATCCTGCTCTATCCTGCTCTATCCTTATTCATTCCTCCACAGTCTAACCCACACAAACACCTCTCAAGTCTGAGGATAAGGATAAGCAAACTGAACAGGTGGAGGAAGAGAAAAACAGAGAAAAAGGCAGACTCAATTCAGACGAAGAGCAAGAATTGTTTAGAGGACAAACCAACAAAGCAGCAGCTACTGTATGCTGCATTCTGCACTGATCCAGCTGCTCAGATCCTGTTCCATGACATAAAAAGACTTAAACATTCCACAGCAGCAAAAAAGATTACATTAAACATCCATTTAGCTTGACCAATCATACATTTTTATATAGCTGCTCTGCAACAGTTCCTCATTCAAACATTCAGTATCTTCAGAAAATATTTTCTTTGCTACAAGCTACACCAGAAAAATCCAATTACAATTATTTTTTTTTTCCCAAATATTCCTCAACATTTCTAAAGACTGGAAGTTACTGTTTCCATTTAACTTCAAGCATCACTATGATGACTTCAACAAGAAGTCTGGTTGCATTACAGAGTTATGTTCTTCATAGACTATGACGGAAGTGAAGCCTTGTACAGGTAAATACATGAGATCTGAAGAGTTTCCTTGAACCTCTTCCTGCAAAACCACAAAAATACTTCTTTTTTTTTTCCAGAAATATACAAAATTGACCAGAGCTTGTCAATGTTTGTTTGTAGCTGTAGCTGTATCTCTTTTGCAAG